TGGATCAATTAGACTGGATTAGTAGAGGATGTACAACTCTGGCTAGGGTCGTGCTGCAAATCTGTTTATGTAGATATTGAGACCATTATCTACATAATTTCAGCTCTTCCACATCAGTCATGTTGCCCTATATAGGGAGCAGACTGGCAAAGGGTGCTGTGTTTACTTTTAATCACAATGAGACTTCCTTACCTCAGGTATGGATCAATTAGACTGGATTAGTAGAGGATGTACAACTCTGGCTAGGGTCGTGCTGCAAATCTGTTTATGTAGATATTGAGACCATTATCTACATAATTTCAGCTCTTCCACATCAGTCATGTTGCCCTATATAGGGAGCAGACTGGCAAAGGGTGCTGTGTTTACCTGGTGTGGAAATTCAATATGGAGGTGTATCTCACATAATTTCAGCTCTTCCACATCAGTCATGTTGCCCTATATAGGGAGCAGACTGGCAAAGGGTGCTGTGTTTACCTGGTGTGGAAATTCAATATGGAAAAACAGTGTATTACTGTTCTCTTGTGTTGAATGCAAGGGCCGATCTACAGCCTAGATTTCTTTGCTTTGGCTGTTTTAGAACATGTGTATATGTGTATAATCTCTTTCCACTAAGGAGACCTGAGAACACCTAGAATCTATTTTCAAAATCCCCCGGCCTTTGGCCACTGCAGGTGATGCAACAGCCACCTACCTTCCTCAACTAAGCTCCCTTGATCCGGCTGTGCAGCTGGAAGTATTGTTACATGAAACGCATTATTGAAGAACCTTGGACCGATCTGGGTTGAAGTATTTATGAATCACGTAGGCATTCCTTCAGCCTTGCTTGCTCACGTCACATTTTTTGCAATTAAGTTTTAGTATCAGATGGTGTTACTGTGTGCTGCCCCCCAAAGACGTTTTGTGGCTTGAACTGGACCAAATAGTTCTCGTTTTATGTACAAAAGCTGACCAAAGTTCTCCCAGTGCTGAAATCTTTTTTTTTCTCCCAGCACTGGTAGTGGGACAGCATCTTCCACTACCTGGGGACTTCCGCACGTGACTGATGCCTGTATTCACATTTCTGCCTCCCTGCCTGCCCTCCCCCCCCCCAGGCAGCAATTTGGGATGGCCCAAAAGATAACATTACTAGGCTGCACAGATAGGTCATGTGGAGCTGAGCATCGAATTTAACTCTCTGGAAATATAAAACAAAAAACAAAATTGGTTGGAGCACATTAAAGACGAACAGATTCATTTCATCGATCTCCAAGACACGTACTTTCACATCTCTGTTCACCTGAATCACCACAAATTCCTTCGATTCCGATGTGACAACATCATATACCAGTTCTGTTCTCTCCCATTTGGGCTTTCCATAGCACTGAGGACTTTTACCAAATGCATGGCGCCAGTTGATGCCTACTTTTGACTCCAAGGTATCAATATATTCCCTTATATAGATGACTGGTTGATAGTCTCAGCCTCATGTCACGATGCCGTCAGAGCTACACAACTCACTCAGGCAACCCTCCTTGCCTCTCCAATTGACGATACAGGTTACCACCGACGCCAGCCTGTCAGGATGGGGAGCACATTGCCGGCATCACAGGATCCATGGCCTATGGACAAATCAAGAGAAAAAATGACAACATCAATCGCCTCGAACTCTGAGCAATTATCAAGGCTTTCCATGCTTTCCTACCACTTATTGTGGGACATGCAGTCCAGCTCGCTACGGACAATACGACGGCCCTTTACTACATAAACAAACAGGGAGGCACACATTCTCCATCCCTGCTGTACCTGACCGTCGAGCTTTGGGAATTGTGTTACCTACATCACATCTTCCCAATAGCAGCCCATATAGCCACACACGAAAACTTCCTCATGGACTATCTCAGTCACCTCACCACAAGGACACACGAATGGTCCCTAAACGACATAATCTTCGATCTCCTCTGCAACCATTGGGGCACCCCTTCCATCAACAACTTTGCTTCCCAAGCAAATACCAAGTGCCAACATTACTGTTCTCAAGCCAGAATTGACAAGAACTCGATCGGAGATGCCTTCATGATAGACTGGGACAAGGACCTACTCTATCTATTCCCTCTCATACCACTCATACAAAGAACCATCATTCGACTTCAACAATTCCAGTTGAATGCAATCCTCCTCGCTCCATGGTGGCCACAACAACCATGGTTCACCCACCCGAGGTCGATGTCAACTGACTCCCAATCCCCAACCTTCTCATTCAAGACGACGGGATGATTCACCATCCAGACGTACCAACCAGAAAATCTTTATCTCTAGTTATGTGACATCATGAATTTGACCAACATGAATTTGAAGACTTTACTTACCTTTTTCCTTTATCTCTTCAGTTTTGGACTATCTCATTCCACCTTGAAAGTTTATATCTCTGCTATTATAGCTCATCAACCTCCTCATTCTGAATCGGCCAAACTTTTTTTTCTCATCCAACTGTAAAAAAAATTCTCAAGGGACTCAACAATATTCGCCCCCCACGCCAACGTCCTATGGCGTTGGTCTTTACAACTTGTCCTCCATGCACTTACTCGACCACCCTTTGAACCAATGGCTACCTGTGATCTTAAACTACTTTCCTTGAAAACATCTTTTCTTGTGGCAATAACATCTGCTATGCGGGCTAGCGAACTTGCAGCCCTCCGATCCGATCCACCCTTCCTTCAGTTCCATCCGGATAAGGTCACTCTGTATTTTGATGTGTCCTTTTTACCTAAAGTTGTATTTAAATTTCACCTCAATCAACTGATAATTCTACCTACCCTATTTCCATTTCCGTCAACACCTCTTGAGGGCATACTCCATACACTTGATGTAAGACGTTCTCTCGCCTTTTACATTGACAGGACCAAATCATTCAGAAAAATCATAGAGACTCTTTCTGTGTTTTCACGGTCTTCATAAAGAGGCTCCAGTTTTGCTGCAATCTATTTCTAGATGGATTGTCCAAACTATCTCATTAGTGTATGAGCTAACTGGCAAAACCCCTCCTGAACATTTAACGACCCTTTCTACCAGAGTGCTGTCAACATCTACTGCCTTCCAGCGTGGTATTGAACTCCTTCACATCTGCCATGCAGTGACATGGTCTACTCCATCAACCTTTGTCAAACATTACTCTCTTGATGTCAGAGCACAGAATAATGCTGGTTTTGGAAGAGCTGTTTTGGCATCCTTTCTACCGTGACGTCCCACCATCTGGTAAGTTAGCTTGCCAATCCCCTAATTGTGTGCCTTCACAGAGGCCACAAAGAAGAAAGAGAGGTTACCTACCTGTAACCATCGTTCTTCTAGTGGTCCTCTGTGAATCCACACATTGCGCACATCCTCCCCTCTGTCATGTTGTATTTTTATATAGTTCTTTGACAGTGATGGACTTTTTTCAGGAACTGAGGGGATCAATGGTGGGCGGAGCATGCACTCCATGGGGGAACGTCCCACTAATCATGTGTCCTTAAGCTCTAGAAACTTCTGAGAGGTTCAGCGCAGGCACAGAACAACCCAATTGTGTAGATTCACAAAGGACCACTAGAAGAACAAAGGTCACTCATGAAAGAAGCCATGGATTTCACCTTCGTTGTTTTTTCATATACCTTTACAGTGTGATTCTGTCTTTAATTAACGTTACATGATATCTGAGGGACTGGGTTGCATTCATGAAAGCATACAATGAAATAAATCTGTTAGTCTTTCAGGTGCCTCAACACGTTTTAATTTTTGTTGCACGTGTTGAAACAGACTAGTATGGTCACCCCCTTGAAATCAGCTTTCATTTTAATGCTGGTAATTGTAAAGTTATATCCCTTTGACAGAACTTGAAAAATGTAACTTTTGGAGGATATCTCCAGAATTCTGGATGGTGGATTATTGGAACTGTACAGCTATATAGCTTTTTCAGAATGCTTGAAAACCACGGACTAGCTATAATTGTAGTAGATGATATGTAAACCAACTTCATTGCATGCACATTTGCTGCTGCTATATGTTCTGTGACACTTTTCTGTGTTAATTACCAGACTAGTTAATTAATTTGGGTTTTGAGACGGATGGGTGTGATTATGCTGACTATGATGGGGAGGGAATCTTGCTGAATTTGGTTTGATAATTATTGTGTCTTGCTTAACCTATCCATTAAGGTTAAAAACCTGATTATCCTGGAACATGATCGCAACAGCAAAAACAGCAATTCTGCGGCAATGATATGACTTTAAACCTCCAGCTTTGAAATGATGGTTTCCTGGGGCATAGACTCTTTATCATAATTGTCAAGCTGACTGCCAGAAGATGGCCAGAAACATTTTATTTATTAAACTTGTATCGTGCCTTTCCTCTAAGGATCTGAAAACCAATTGTATCTAAAACATGGCTATTAATATACAAAACTTCTCAGATAACATGATCTCATTTCGTTGTTTGCAAAAATATGAAATATAATTTAGATATTACAGCATGTCAAACGCTTTCAGTACCATGATCTCTTTATATTATGTAAAATTTCCTAATTTATAAACAAAATTTGGAAAGCAAGAGTTATATGAAATATGGTTATGTGTAATGAGTTTCTTTTTAAAAATAATGTAGGTATCACAAATCACTTTTCAAAATTAAAGTAAGTGGACATAAGGTTGCTCGATATTGGTATGGCAAGTAGTATTTTTTCTTTTAAAAGAGTGTTTTAAAATACATTATTAGAGTTCCTTCGAGAAGAATATTTCAACTTTTACATAATTCTCTTTTTAAAAATAATGGTGAAAAATAACAAAAGATGTACCATGGCAGTATAAGGAGTGTAACATGTTTCTCTTTTTTATATTGCAGTGGATAATTAAAAAGAACAGTGCAAGTAATTATTTTTTTAAAGTAACTTCCCAGTCTCTTTTAATAAATAGAAAGAAAAGGGTTGACAATGGCGGGTCTCTGGAAGCAACAAAGATGCTAACCACACATATATTGTTTGTTCTCTCTTTTAGAATGAGTATGATGCCTCTGGGGGCACTCCTTCTTTCTGCTTTGTGTTTGCTGGGGACAGTAATTCCATATGGAAGAGGACATGCCTCTTTTTCATGCAACACCACCAAATTTCTCCATCTGGTTATGGATCCCAACACTGGGACTCTTTACGTGGGAGCTACAAACTTCCTATTCCAGCTGACGTCAGACCTGGTGATGGAGGAGGAAGTTTCCACGGGGCCTTTTTATGACAGCAAGGATTGCCTCCCTCCCGTCACCACAGAGAACTGTCCCCCAGCCCAGAAGACCGACAATTACAACAAGCTCCTGTTAGTCAACTCACTGGAGAATGAGCTGATAGTATGTGGCAGCGTCTGGCAGGGGATCTGTGAGAAGAGGCGACTTGGCGTCCTTAACCACATCCTCTTTCAACCTCAGACGCCAGGGGACACTCAGTACGTAGCAGCAAATGACCCCAATATTTCCACCGTTGGGCTAGTTGGGTACTCCAAAGACAATGTGCCACTTCTGTTTGTGGGCCGAGGGTACACCAGTCGGGGAGTGGGAGGTAGTATCCCTCCCATTACGACTCGGAACCTCAGGGCCCACCCAGGAGAGCCGCCAGGCCCAGATTCTCACTCCATCTTCTCTTATGAGGAAACAGCCAAGTTGGCTGTGGGCCGGCTCTCAGAGTACAACCACCATTTTATCCAGTCGTTCACTCATGGCTCCAGTGTTTACTTCCTGTTCTACCGGCGTGATCTCAAGTCGCACTCCCGTGAATACAAGACCTACATTTCCAAGATCTGTCTGGACGACTCACACTATTATTCTTACGTGGAGCTACCTTTGGTCTGCAGGAGTAAGGACAAGACTTACAGCCTCGTACAGGCTGCCTACGTTGCACAACCAGGGGGAGAAGGCGACGTTGCTACAGCCCGAGGAGACATGCTTTTTGCCACCTTTTCCACCTTGCAAGCTTCTTCAGGGAAGCCCAGCGAAGAATCTGCACTCTGTATTTATACAATGGATGAGGTGGACCGCCTCACCACGCAGACGAGAGACCTCTGTTACACCAAGGATGGGAAAACAGAGGAAGGCATAGAGGTGGCTTACATAGAATATGACGTCAATTCAATCTGCGTCCAACTATCCGCGGTAAGTGGCTGTTTGTGGCGTAGATGTATAAACCTGGTCCATGGATGGGAATTGTTTGGGTTTTGAACAGTAGCTGTGCAGGCTGCCTGCAGGTCAGTGGAGGAGGCAAGGGGGGGCGCTTGCCACTCCCCTGAATCCTAAACTTGGAATTTCTTTAAATATACCCAAATACTGGCTGGACTGCAGTTAACAATGATGGTGGCGATGATGATCATAATGATAATCATCACCTTTCCAAGTTCTGATTTAGTTGTTCCCACACCCAACAACTGGTTTTTATTGGCATTCCACCTCTGAACATGAAGGGACAACTTAGCTGTCGTGGTTGAATAATTGCGGATAGACCTGTTCTCCACGAATTTTCCTAATTCCCCCTTTTCAGAGCTGTCGAAGCCTGTGGGCATTACTACATTCCTGTGGCAGTGACTTCCACGAGTTAATTATTCATTGCGTGATAACTTTCCTTCCTTCCCGAAATGACACTATAAGACATATCATACGATTTATTGGAACAGTTGCAATTCATGGGTTAAAAGTAACACATCCAATTTAAAAGGCAAGTCCCATTCACAAGCAGTTGAACCTCTTTCCTCTCCCTTTTAATTTCAGTTTGTTGATTCATTTGTTTTATTTGTTTCATTTCCATGCCATCTTTCTCCTGGTGAAGGGACCCAAGGCAGCTTATAAATGATTAAAGCAAGTTGGACTAAAACCACAATAAAGAACAAGGTTAGAAAACAATTACACTCATGCTTACTGTAACAATTACAATTGCAGTTAGAACGGCAATCAAAATTCTCATCTAAAGATTTAAAGGCCTTAAAAACACACTTAAAAGAACATATGCACTGCATCCAGAAGAGTCTCTGTCTTGCCCAACTTAGTTATTAAATGACTGCCTAAAACAGACAGATCTTCCACTGTTGCCAATGAAAGACAGACCAAGCTGTTTCAGTATGGTATGTGTTTGATCCTTTTGTAATATCTGGATATTCATTGTTGCTAGCCTTAATAGTGTCCTTTAATTATGTAAGCCATAGGTTCTTAATCTGTGGTCCATGGACCCCCAGGGGGCTGCGATGTCCTCACAGAAGGTCTGTGAATATTTGAAGAAATGTTATGAGGTTTTGCAGTTAGAATAGAATAGAATAGAATAGAATAGAATAGAATAGAATGAATGAATGAATGAATGAATGAATGAATGAATGAATGAATGAATGAATGAATGAATGAAAGCAAAAAAGAAAAGGAAATGTAGAACAAAATCTTAATTTCCCTTGGTTGTTTGTGTAAAACTTTGCTTTTCTAACCTGCCTCCTCCATTAAAAACAAACAAAAGTAAAAATTGGTTATGAAAATAACTCTTTGATAGCAAATATTTGATATTTCTGCCCACGGTGAGAACATGCAAGTGAATGACACTGAGTGGCGGAGAGACAGCACACAACATTACTGGCTACTGTGCAGAAGCTGCGGGATGAGAGAGTCAGAGTCAGTCAGTATCAGTGTGAGTTGAGTGTTCAGCCTGGACTTCATGATCAAGTTTCTTCTTTGTTTTCTGCTGATAAAAACCATATGTTTATTGTCGGGTAAAGCGAGACCCTTCATGAGAAATTTTAAATAAATATTTGATGCACTTTAAGGTTTTAAATCTTGAGTAAAGTCTTGATGGTCCGTGGCAACAAAAGATATTTAAAGGGGGTCTGTGGTAAAGAAAAGCTTAAAAACTGCTGATGTAAGACATTAATTCCCCCAAAATTTTTTGAGTCATGGCTCTCTTGACTTACTGGCCACAGGGGGAGAGCCTGGCCTGAGTAGTACTTCTGCGGATTCTTTGGCAGGTCCTGGCTTGGTTTGGCAGTGCCCTGAGGGAGTCATGGCTCTCTTGACTTACTGGCCACGGGGAGAGCCTGGTCTGAGTAGTACTTCCGTGGATTCTGTGGCGGGTCCTGGCTGGGATTGGCAGTGCCCTGGGGTCCTGAGTCTTTTTTAAGGAGAAAGGTAGGGTAAAAATACTTTAAATAAATAAATGATAAATAAAAGGAAACGGGTAAGGGGGCCAAATTAACCCTCCCAAGGAAGGGCATTCCAAAATCTGGAAATAGTCACGGAGAAGGCCATTTCTTGCATTCCCATCAAAACACCTGCAAAAGGCCTCCTCTGAAGATTTCAGGAGACAAGAAGGCTCGTATGGGGAGAGAGAGTCCTTGAGATAGCCTGGACCCAAGCTGCATGGGGCACAAGAGGTCATGACCACACTTTGAGTTGGGTTTGTAATGGACCGGGCGTGAACCTGCTGTAGCAAAGGGGTTTACATGTTCCTGATAGCTGGGCCCTGTCAGCGGTTTGGCTGCTGCCTTCTGAACCAGCTGACACTTGGATTTCAGATGCCCACCGTTGGACTGTGGAAGGTCCCAAAAGCTCCTATCCTCTAGCTATCTCTAAAGCATATATTTAAAAAAAAATAGTTCAGTTTTGTGTGAAGGCATTTTCTTGGGACAATTATCTGAGAAGCTGCTGACAGAACCAAAAGAAGTAAAGTGAAAGAACCGTGCGAGCAAGAATAAGGAAGCAATGGTTGACAATAGAGGGTAAACAGGAGCAAAAAATCAAAGCATGCTGCTTTTATACTGCCCCATTGCACTTAAAGCACACTCTGGGCAGTTGAGAAGTTAATTATGCAAGGCTACATGTTTCTACTCCCAGTTTCAATTTGCCAAGCTCAGAAAGAAGGAATGAACCTTGAGCTGGGATGGAACCCCGGTTTGTGAGCACAATTTTGGCTGAAGTACATCCGTTGAACCACTGCACCACAAGGCTTGAGTGTTGCAAGTGCCACATTTGTGTATTTATTTGTTCCATTTATATTCTGGCTTCCCTTTAATGAGCTCATAGTAATCTATGTGACTCATTTCCTCTCTACTTCATCTTTCCAACAACCTTGTGAGGTAGGTTAGACTGAGGGTGTGACCAAATAAATGGACATCTGTCCCGTTGTTTCGCCTTCCTCTCTGATCATTTCAGTGTATTCTTCAAAAACAAGACAACATTATTGCTAAACTTGTGTAAATCCTACCTTTTTGTGTTCCTAGTACATATTGTTCATCCCACAGTCCACTTTTTTTGGGTTTCCTTTTACATTTTTTGTGTCTTCATAACTTATACTGAAATGCATACGATAAAGCGTACTGTGGGGCTGAACAATTTTGTCTGCTCCCTCCAGATAGTTTACACTGCTGTGTGGTTTTATTGTAGTTGTTTAACTCTGCACTCATTCTAGCACTAGGCAGTTGCAGTTTTAAGATAAATTA